GAGGACTAAAATCTTCACTCCCTTCCCTGTAGGGACTTTCTGGTAACTACATTCTCCTCCTCATGCCCTCGGAATGTAGCTTTGGTGTTATCTTTGGCTCTTCTCAGGGCTGCTTCTTAAGCATTCGCGGAGAGAGAGTTTTGTATTTTTTTACAGATTAGAGCTTATTTTGACTCTGAGCATATTCCAAAATCCTGTCATATTTTCCTTTCTGACATCTCTAAGACTCATCTTTTCCTGTTGGTCTCCAATCACTAAAACCCTTTCCCACATTTCTGCCCGCTTTCTTCTGCTCCTTATAAATACCCCCATTGTGGTCTCTGCTCTTGAGTTCTGTCTCTGTTAAAGCAATCTCCTTGGTGCCTTCATGACGACATCTTTTTAAAATGCCTGCACTGGTTTCTCTCATCTGCATAAATCTAAACTTTAGGGACCTGCACTGTTCTTCATTGCCTGATTATGTTTTTCTCTGCTGGCTTCCCGTATTTCTTCTTAATTTTTTAATGCCTGACCTCTTTATATGTATGCTTTTTATTCCCCTCATTCACTTTTGTTTTCCTAGGCAGTTTTAAAGCTGTCTCCTCCCCAGCCAAGAACATTTTCTTTCCCTGTTATATGCCAAGCCCAGCCTCAAACAAGTTGTATCCTGATATCCCTCTCTGTTTCTCTTCTCTTCCTCACAGTGGCTACTGTTTCCCTCTTCATGATGATAGCCTTTTTTAAAATCAAATAACGCCATATGTATCTGCCCTGTTGGTATAAGCAGATCTCTCATTTGTCAGGGAAGATCTCTGCTATTAGTTGCTCTTAAGTTCATTCTCGTGCCTCCATTGTTACTCCCCTGGTTTGGGGCTGACACATGCAGTTACTTCCCATATGGTCTCACTGTTTCTGCTCTTTCCTGGCTATTCTACCTCCACATCATCCTCAGAGGTGTCTTCGTGATCTGGTCTGTTTCTCTTCTTCAACAAAACAAAACAAAGCTACACTTTCCCTGGCCTATAGAATGAACTTTACCTTCCTTAGGTGTGCAGCAGGAATCTTCATATCCTGGCCCCTCCTCACTGTTCCTGACTCCCCCTGTTACTTTTCACCCCAAGTCCTCAATGCCAGTCACACAGAACTGCTATGTGTTGAGGTCGAGAGTGGGTTGCTACAGGCCAAATATGGTCTGCAGAATTTTTTGCCATCTTTTAAAAAACAAAAGATTTCATGCAAAAATCCATTTTTCTAGCTTCATCTCAGAAAACATGGCAACACTACACCACACGCGAACCTGACCGTGGAGCATTGGAGATGAATGGTGGTTGTCCCCTCAGGAGAGGCAGCCTCTGTCTCGATTTGCCAGGTCCTGCACTCCCTGTGGTATCCCCAGCATTGAGTCACTGTGTCATTTCCTTTATCATTGCTCTTGTGCTTTGTTTTATCTTCTAGCGTTAGGAGAAAATTGTACCACATCTCTACAGATGAATAAAAGATGAGCGGATTTGTACTTCAAGAAATACTATATGGGGTCACTTTACACTTTTGTTGTCCTGTCCTTTGCAGCATCTGAATTTGGATCTCTGACTAAATGGCTTAGCACTAAGAATCTGTTTTCAAATTCTGGCTCCATGACTTACTAGCTGTGTAGCTTTGGGCAAGTTACTTAAACGTTCTCTACCGCAGTTTCCACATCTATAAATTGCAGATGACAATAGTAAGTACTTCACAGAGTTTTTGTGAAGATGATACAAGATAATCCATGTAGAGAATTTAGCAGAGCATTTGGAACATGGAAAGTGCTCGATAAATCTTAGCAACATTGTTATCACCATTATTATCATTCTGTTTTCTACAAATCTAATGGTGGGAATGTCAGATCCCTGGGGGACATGGTTAAGGACAGAGGGTCATTTGGTTCCTATTAAACCACATCTTCCTAGCTATCAATTTTGCCAATTACTAGCTGTGTACCTGGCCAAGTTATTTAACCTCACCATGCCTTCATATTATTATCTCTAAAATGTTAGCAAGAACAGTATGATGCTACTAGCCACATCTTTGGTTATGAAGTCTCATCTGATATAACCATGTAATGAGACAGCCATGTACTGTGTGTAATGTGTGTCTGCCCCATAATAAGTACACAATAAATAGTAGCTATTATTGTCATCAGCTGCCCTGCCTCTTGCCCAGGGGACATCACCCAATAGTCATGAGGACTCAGGGAGCCAGATGGCCCACCTGCATGTTTTATGTGGTGCCCACACTTCTACATGGGCTTTTCAAAAATTAATATAATTCATACACCATAAAATTTACCCTCAAAGTGTATAATCCAGTGGTTTTTAGTATAGTCACAAAGTTGTACAGTCATTACCACTAATTCCAGAATGTCTTCATCATCTCTAAAAAGAAACTCCATATCCATTAGCGATTGTCCCCTCATACCAACTTCCCCCGCCCTTGGCAACCACTAATCTACTTTCTGTCTCTATGGGTTTGCCTATTCTGGACATTTCATGTAAATGGAATCATATAATATACAGCTAGACAGGGGCTTTTCCCTGTGTGTTTCCTGAAGAATAAAGCTGTGTCCTTTTCTAGAAAACAGATTCCTGCTGAGTAGGAATTATTAAGTAGGAGGATAGCATAGGCCAAGACTGACCTAAGAGGAACCAAACTAAACAGACATGGATTCTAGAGGCCAATTTGAGTAGGTTAGGAGTTTTGAGGAGCTGAAAATCATTAGTATAAAGAAATAACCGAGCTAGATTGCCTTCGATTCTTCATATCCTGGCCCTCAACACACCGTAAGGATCTCAAATGTCCATCTGTGGACTGGCTGAATAGGATTCATGTCATAGCTGGATAAAAGTACAGATTGTGAACTCTTCCCAGGCTCACTGAATCAGAAATCCCTAGGGTGGATTTAGGAATTACAACCGATGATTCTGCCAGGAATTGGGTTTGGGAATCATTGCGTTACATGGGACATGCTTATGTGACACTGCTCTGTGTTGTTGTGTTCCATCCTCACTACACTGCTCTGTAATGTTGATATTCTTTCTAAGTGTATGAAACTGATCTTCTTAATAGATTATTTACAACTAGGGCTTACTTTTCTTTGTTTATCTCAGCCCCTCTCCCCCGCCGAACACAATCTTACACAACGTAGGGGCTCAACACATGTTGGAAGACTGGTTATCTGGAAACCTCAAAGGTATGGCTGGGATATTGCGAGCCACAAAGTCATTAAGGTCAACAGGTCTAAAAGGAGACCTTTCTGGCCCATTCTAAGCATTCCTTGTTTGAGATTTCAAGGCTGGTGTTTGTTATCAGGGTTCTGACTTGTGACCCAGTGGTCAGGAGTCCTTTGGTGTTTGTGTTCAAAAGGATGGCCCTAGAACAGTCCCTTCAGGGGGACCTTCCAGCCCTCTGCATAGTGCTGATAGGTAGAAGGGTGACCAAGTGTAGGTGTGGTTCCTATACCTGGAAGATCAGAGTCCCCCAGGGAGCTTGTTAACATGCAGATTCTTGTGCCTTGCCCCAGATCCACTGAACCAAATTGTTGTCCAGGAAGTGGAAATTACTACCCAGTTACTACCCAAATACTACTCTAGAGTTTGAGGAATAGGATCTTCCTGCTTACATCTGGAGCAAAGACAACATGTTGTGTTTACGGGGATTTACCTAGGCAGGGCTGTGGACTGGGATTTGGGCTTAGACTTAGGCTTAGACCTAGGCTTAGGGCCAGAGGCCCTAACATTTAGTTAGTCCCTGTGACACTGGGTAAGCCACTCACCTTTCACTTCACTTCCTTATAAAGTGAAGGATTGGGACTAGGGAAGGCACTGGGAATGCAGACATGATCATTGCTCTCTGTAGGAGGCTTCTCTATAGGTCCAGATGACAGTTCTAAAGGATCCACCTCTTCTGTGTGCTCTGAGGACAGGACTGTTTTCTCAGACTGGGGTTAGCAGCTGTCCAGTGTCACTGGAGGCGAAGTTGCTGGAGCCCACTCTTTGGCGGTTTGGTGGCTGGTGTAGGATGGTGGTGACATTCAATGAGAAGCATGTGAAGCCCCTCCCCTTCCCTTGCTCATGTGTCCCTCCCTCTCTCTTCTTCCCATATTCCAGTAATTAAGAGTTTCATGTATAGAAGCTCCATTTATAAATCACAAATACTTCACAGGAGTGTTAAAGTCACCAATTGTTAATACTCTAGTATGAAGACTTTCTGTTTAACTGTCATCTGTTACAGTAAAGAAATGAGAGTTGGTGGATAATAGCACATGGATGCTGGGCTCCTGAAGCCTGAGGAAGGGGACAAAGGGGTCCAGCTAGGGAAGGGATGGCAGCCAGAGACAGTCATTGATTTGGCAGTTTTGCCCAGTACCCTCGTAGTGGCGCTATAATACATCACTTTGAAGCTTTTGATAGAAATGTCCTAAAGTAGTGATGTTTCATCTAGACCATCTTTGGGTGAGGTTATTATCATTCTGTCTTATTTTGTTAAAGACTTGGGAAATCAATCATATCGATTGCCCAGGAATTGCATAAGCCTTGGGTTACTGTGCTTCTAACTTTTCATGGTATCTTAAATCCAAGTTTGTCCCTAAATATTCAGCTCTCACTCAGGTCATATAATCACTATTCCATTCAGGTCAGCCCTGTGCAATACTGTAAAGAAGCAGCAATTGTTTTTGGATTCTCTGGGCTCTCTTAGTATATCCCTTCCTAACCTACTTCCTAGCTCTATACATGCAGATTCACTTGTATTAAATTGCCGTGGTAATTTTCCCTTTTTCTTTGGTACAGCAAAATTAATGCAGGAATGGAGAAGCCTTAGGCATACTTTGTGTGTTCCCGTAGTCTCTGCCCCATTGTCTGGGAAACCAGAGACTTCACTTAGACGCCAATGAATCCATCATCAGGCTTTGTTTAAGCTCTGTATTTACCAAGATCCTCACTTGAGCGGTGGCTTAACTTTTTAATCTTTGATTTATCGTTTTACAGTTGCTGAGACAGAGGGAAAACTCACTCCTTTGGAGGAGCACGGCCTTTTCCTATATTGCTTCCCACTGCTGCCATTGAACTCCTTGAACTCGGGACCCTGCAAACCATCATCAACAAGACGTTACGGATGGGCTGTCCACCCCCTGAGAGAAGAGGAATATCAACTGCAGTTTCTCACTAGATTGCCTTCTTCATCTCAAGTAATGACTGTCATCAGGATCAGATTAAAGATGAACCAGCTGGACAACTGCTTGGAGGACTAACCTATAAGGGCACTAAAATATCAGTAGTGTGCTAACTACATCCGTGGAAACACAAGGAGAGGAAAATATATTTACCAGCCCTTCTTCCCAGGGAGAATTCTGTGTGTGATTGGAAGGAATGGTTCAATAAATTCCTTAAGGGTGGAAAGTAGGGAGTGATCAGAATATAGAGGAATATAGGGCTGTTTTATTGCAGGGTTCCTGTTTTTCCTACGAGGATACACAAATTGGATGCTCCATCTGGGTTGTTTATGACTATGGAGGGTAGGCTGAGCACCATGGTAGTCCTCCTGCTTAGTTCTTCCCCATGTGGAGCTCAGCTTTTCCTCTAGTGAAGACTGAACAAGCAGTAGTTTGAGGGAGACACCAATTCATGAGCCTACACATCTCTTCTCTGCACTCTAGAGCTTGACAATAAAGACATTGTCGTAGACATCTATATTCCAGTTCTAGAATGTGAGCCCTTAGGGTATCTTTGTTCATTTGGGGTGAGGGTCATTGCTAACAGAGTAGTTCAAGATAAATGGAACTCGAACTCTTTGCCTATGGGCCTGGTGGTCAGACCCTATGTTGAGTTAATTAGACCATTAGAAACACCAGGTGGAGCTGGGACCTTCAAAAATATTTGGCTGAAGGGTGATATTGTTGGTTATTTGTAGGTGAAGTCATCATAGAACATGCTTGGAATCATGAAATATGGAACTGATAGTCACGTTTAATGACTCAACAAATAGTTAAGTACCTACTGCACACTGTGGAGACTTAGGAGCAAGATAGACACGGTTCCTACCCCCATGGAATTTATACTCTAGCTTTCCCTTAAGTATGAAGAGCAGTGGCTACAGATAACTAATGGCCATAAAGATATTCTTGAGCCAATTTTCCAATCATTAGGGTAATTCCTATTGCTTTAGTCATGCCTAGTGACCATACTCTATAAGCCTGCATTCTATATAGTGAAGGCCACTGACTACTCCACCCTTTGCAACTCATCCCTACTCAGGTAGGGAGAACCTAGGTGACTACTTTCTAAATTTAAAGAATACCTCTTGACAGATAGACATCTTCCATACATATTGTGCTTCATACGTTTTCTATGGCTGGTGACCTCTTTAGAAAGGAAAGGAAAAACACTAATCAGACAAAAAGATGTTGCTGTGAATTCTTACCCTATTGTGAATCCTATCATAAGCAACTTCTCGTCTTTGTTTCTTCCATCATTAGTAAATCTATTTCATATATATATATATATATATATATATATATATATATATATATCTGAGTGCAGAGAATGTTTTATGGAAATATAAATCTATGGCATTTCAAATTCAGAATTACCTACACAAACTATTTGGTTTGAGAATTTTTATCCTAGGAAATAGTTTTAGAGATTTCAATTTCTGGCTTCAGTGGTGGTATTAATTACTCTTGATTCTCAATTTTACTTCCTAGATGAGGTCGAGAAACAGACAGACACTTCCAGTTAATATCTATACTGCTTCTTGACCAAGAGCTTTAATTTTCTCTCTTGCCTTCATTTTTGCAGATGTACATCATAACTAAATGGATCGATCAGTGTTTCATCCCCTTTGCGTGTCCTTACTTTCCCTCTGGCAAATATATTAAAAACAGTGTAAGATTCATAAGATAGAATGGCCGGTAGGACTTAGAAGAGAAACAAAGGGCCTGAGTAACTCACCTAAGTGGAAAATCGACCCTGGAATAATTGACAACATATTCAACTATTTTAGTGCAATGTTACTCCCATTAAGCAGAAGCAGAATCATTAAATCTATATGACTCTAAACATTCTAATGAAAAGGGGAACACTGTGTCAATCATCTCACATTTTCAAATATCTGGATATTGGCTGTTGTGAAGACAAAACACACAGATGACTGTCTTTCCACATCTCATTTGCATGGTCTGGAGTCTTGTAGCTTTGGCCATTGACTCTAAGGCAATTTACATTTGTTTTCTATGCCCCTCTTGAGGGAAAACAAAAATCTTATTTTTCCAAGCAATTAAAACTCTTCTGCTTCAGCTAGGATGAAAGAATTAGGAGTTCTGTCTCCTTGTATATAATTGTGTGTTTCATCTTTCTTATTTTAATGATTGACAGAAAACTGATAAACTGAGATATCTCTCAATCAGGGTTGAATGTACTCTCTTGGTGGCCCCATTGCTAATTTGTTTGACTATTTTGTAAGATTTCTTACTCTGTAATGGAAAGGTTTATTAAATATGAGGGGTGCAAAGCTTTCTGAATACTAATGAACTTATTTGCCAAAATTTAAATGTTCTTCTTGTCAGTGAATGCCTGTCTTGCTTAACAGGATCCAAATTGAATAATGAAGAAAATTAGACTCTATTGTACCCTCAAGAGAAATCGTGTGTGAATTGTAATAGAATACTGAGGGGGAAAGGGGTCACATTTTAGAAAAAAAAGTAGATAATTTGGATTATTAAAAAAAAGGATTAACTCAGGAAAACCTAGTTCTTTTCAAAGAAACACAGTCATTCAAGGAGCAGGATTTCCCACTGCACAAGCAATCTATATCTTTGGCCAGTTTAGAATGAGAGGAAAGTCATAAATCATATGGAAATGCATGCTATGTTATATGGGAATTCCTTTTATATGTCTGTGTTGGAATGGGAAAATCAATAAGCTTGAAAAATGAGCACTGTTCTTCAGAGAAGTTCAACAGGGAGATAGAGTTTGGGAAATTGCCCCAATTCTTCCTCTAAGCATTATGTAACGAGGCTGTCTCTTAGTCAGTGTGTTTATTTCCATTGCCTCGGTGTTATCGCTGATGAAGTGGATGATCACGATGCCTTTCCCTCGCCAGATGGCCATCCTCTTGTCCAGGGAGACAGGCTGTGAGAGCTTCAGCAGCCACACAAATTTCCAAATGTGGTAAGGGCCAGAAATAGTGTGTGTGGAGTAAAATAAAGTGATGGAGGGCAGCGAGGGAGAATATAAAGGTGAGAATGTGCAAAGAGGGAAATTCTTCCCTGTCATAAGCTTGAAATAGGATTAGGTGAGCAAGGATCCTGAGGTAGAGAAAATAAAGGGAAGGATGAATGTCTCTAGTGTTTGTTAGACTTAATTCTCCTGAGACTTTCGGAGGAGCAAAGGAAGATCAAGAGAAAGCCTGTGAAGGTTCAAAAACAAAACTAAACACAAAAAAATTTGAAAACTAAAATTATGCTCATCTAGGGAAAGAGATTGGAAATTAACAGAAAGTATTACAATAGCAGGATTTGTGTTTTGGGGTTTACTTTAGATCCCTAGGAGAAAAGGTTTATATGACATAGATTCATAAGCTATCAATGTGTCTTTTGGCTGTGATAACAGGCTTCATTCCCAAAGGAGAAAAAGAATGTTAACACATGTCAGAGCAACACCAACTGAACGTGCCATATTTTATTTGAGAATGTATTTCCTTATATTATCCACTATTAAATAAAAAAGAGACCTAGTGTGCTTAATTGTTTCTGTGGGAAGGCTTAAGGACTATAAACCTAGATTTCCCTCTTGGAATGATAATTGGATTTTAAAAATTAAGTAAATAAATGGAAGGAGATTGAGATTCATATCCACCCCTTCAAATCATGATCTGAACCTGGGAAACAAAGATGAACTTGGAAAATAGGAAGGTGAGATGGGTGAGCAAGAAGGCTGCAAACCAAATAAGACTATACAATTGTGAGACAATTGAGTGAAAAACAGAATCTGAAGAAGAAGTGGGTAATGAGGAATATGAGACAATAAGATATTTAAAAATAGGCAAGTACTTGGGAAAGTGGGGATGACTGTTGAATTACATTGGACGTGACTAAGGGATTGGGGAAGGCAGGGAAGGGAGGAGACCATTGAGATGGGAAGCAAACCGAGGCTAATGGCTGTACAAGGGCAAGTTTCAACTCTTAATGGCACATTCCCCCAACCTTCGGAGAATGTGCACAACCTAGAAATAAAGGAGGAAAAGATGAAAAGAGTTCACGGTTAACATGGAGTCGTGAGAACAACAGAGGAAGCAATAAGTGTCATTAGTCCTCAGGAATGAAAGCATTTCTAGAGAAATGTATTAGTCTATAGTCTCCCTTCATTTATGGGGAAAATAGTCTTCATTTACTTTTTACAAAAGCTTGGTTTATAAAATGAATGCTATTAAAGGAAAGAAAAGCTAAGTATTATTGGGGAAGTTGAAGAAAAGATTGCATCTAGAACAACTGAAGTGGGGAGTAAGTGAGCAAACCTGTTCATAGCCTTTTATTTAAAATTTTGAAATTCAGCATCTTAATGAAAGAACTGGAGATAATTTATCCACATAGAAAGGTGGGGAGTGATGAGGGAGGAAGTTTTAACTATTGTAAATATTTTAGAATGTATTCTTCCATAACATCTTTTCCCCATAAAAATGAGTGAGATTAAATTTAAAAGCTTCTGGGTATTGCTTTAAACATTTTGGAAGAAAGGATTTATAGCAAAGTAAGGTTATTCCTGGTAGTAGAAATAACATTAATTGTTCAAAAATGCAAATATCTGGAGCAGGTCTAAATGCCTGTGATTATCCTTTTCGCTTCCCTGTGTGTGTGCAGGGGATTCCTTTCTGCCAGACAGTATCAGGCCCCCTTCAGAGGGAAGCTGATAAAGTCATTTAGGTGGAAAGGCTTAATGAGATAATGATGCTAGGGCCCGTTAACACCTAATAAGAACATAACCATGAGGGATGATATTGTTGCTTATTAATTATAATATGATGTGGAGGAAAGAGACAAGGTGGCACTCATTTAGCAGAGAGTGCTCAGGAGGAAGGCTGTTTTCCCAAAGGGGAAGTGCACAGTCAGTTAGAAGTAGGTCAACATTTAGCGGAATTTCAGATTTATGGCTGCTGAGTTATAATGGCGACCACAGGACGGAGGGCCAAGCAGGAGGTAACAGATGCCTTCCTGATGGTGGCCAGGGCTGGAGGGGAGATTGCTGTGGTTCGTGGGCCGTGCACGGAGGCAGGGACTCCAGGCTGAGTTTTGGGGGCAGTCTGCTTGCCTTAGATTCCACAGTGGTCACTGGTGGGCAGACAGGCAGGTGTCCAGAACTGGACTGGGTGTGCTTCCATTTCTGTGACCTTCCACTCC